CGCATCATTGGGTGATACACAGAAATCTGTGCATCACTTCGTGATATAAGGTGCCTAAAGTGGATTTGCACCCGCATACGGTATACCGCATGTGTGCGCACGTGTGTGAGGTCATCAACAGAAGTCTTGCAAACTAGTCATGTCACGGTCTACCTGTTCCAGCACATGACAGGAAATGACACACCTGGGGCAGGTGCGCGCGCTGGTATTGGTCGGTTGTAATCACGTGGGCAAGCGGCCATACTCAAATGTTGGTTCTGGTGATTAACAACATCTCACACAGGTAACAATTGTACAAGGTATACAGCCAGCGCACGTTTTAGGATTGTGGATGTGTTATGACAATGGAGCGGTCCTTCGCGCTCCTGTTTTGCATAATATGTCTTATAGCTTCGGGTGAGTATATTGATGGTGGTTTAAACCGTTTGTAATCAAGGTTTCTCGCTATGCGTTCATATTTTACTAGCTCCAAGAAACGGTATTGCTAGGGTTAGAATACCCGTAAAGACAATCCGTTCAAGGATAGAGAACATGGGTCCCAACAAAACCAATGTCATTTACATCAATATAAATATAATAATATTATATCAATATAATAGGTTAGGGTTATGGTTAGGGTTAGGATTAGGGTTAGGGTTAGGGTTAGGCACATTGGTTTTATTGGGACCCATGTTCTCTATCCTTGGGCCGACAAGGCCTGTATAGACAATACCTGTATAGACAATCCGTCGCACAGCCTGGTCGGCACTAGCGGATTAAGGGCGGGGCGACAGGGGCACGTGCCCCGGGCCCCCCACATTTGGGGCCCCTCACATTTAGAGTATCCTAAAATTTACAAAACTGTCGTAATTGTGATCCACAAAATTCTTAGTATGTAACGTTGAAGTGATGCGTTTCCCATGCTGTTTCTCTGACTGAATTTTGCTGTTCAGCTGAAGGACACTTTCCCTAATACCGAAATTGCTCTGAGAATCTATCTTTCATTGATGGTCTCGAATTGTAGCGGTGAAAGGTCATTTTTAAAACTCAAGTTGATTAAAAATCACATTAGAACCACGATGAGCCAACAGAGACTGGTAAACCTCAGTATTCTCGCTATCGAAAGTGACATTTTAAATTTGTTGAAACACGATGAAATACTCTCTGAATTTGCAAGCATGAAAGTGCAGAAAAAATACAGACTATAGGGCCCCCACACAATTGCGTGCCCCGGGCCCCCCACACGCTTAGTCCGGCCCTGCTGGTCGGGCTAATATTTTACAAGCACTACATACCACAGGCACTTGGAGCGTTTCAATAAAATATAATGCTAAATAAATACGAAATATATTTACTACCAAATAAATACGAAATATATTTACTACCATATTTACTACCAATATATTTACTACCATTTTCTATACTCTCTTTCACCTATTATTGCCGACAATTTCATGTAAATGCCGTCCAAATGCTCCTCTACAACAAACACTGGCTGCCGCCATTGCTGCTGCCGCTGCACACTGACGCTGATAGGGGCTATGTCCCCCAGGGTACTGCCGGAACGTACCCTGGGTACGGTCCGGTATACCGGAACGTACCCTGGTACTAAATACTACTATCTAATATGCCGGACCGTACCTCGCCTACTCCACTAACGAGTCTAGGGAGTCGCCTACACCTACTCCCTAACCATAACCATAACCCTAACCCTAACACTAACTATAACCATATCAGCTAGATAGTTACCAGGGTACGTTCCGGTATACCGGACCGTACCCAGGGTACGTTCCGGCAGTACCCTGGGGGACATAGACCCTATCAGCCACACTGACACATAAATATATATATATTTATGTGTCAGTGTGCTATGAGCCAAGTATACCCTCTTTTGTTATCGTTAGCTACCAGTGTTTCCTCATTGTATATTGGTTTTTTTGAGTTAACAACTGGCCGTCCTGTGTCTGTGGCTAGATTACCTGGGAAGGGACTCAGACAGGAAGTCTGTCGAGAGTGGCCAATATCAGCGGCTTCGAATTTAAGCGACAGAGAAGGGCAAGGCAATTTTTTAGGGCCATGTGAGGAAAATCGCCTATGAATTTCTCTAACATAGAAAGGCACACAACGGCCAACTCTCAAATTGAGAAGGGCCACCAAGGCCACTTTTGTAAAAATAATAGGAAAACTCATAAACAAATTAGTACATCAAACATCGTTCTCTGCTTTTTAATGCTTACAAAAATTATGATGCCCCCATTGTAAGCTTACACCGTAAACACGTACATC